CTGCTGTCAAGAACAAATGACACACAGCTGGTGGCCCAGGCTTCTGTAATCCAGCTCCTCGGGAGGCTGAGACGGAAGGGGCCGATTATAAATTCAAGCTCTGCCTGGGCTACAATGTGAGTTCAAGGGCAGCCGGTCCTGAAATTTTCAAGAGGTCCTGGGGCTGGGATATTGCTCAGTGGTAGAGTGCTTGCCTAGCACAAACAAGGAAGGGCCTGGTTCAATTTCCAGGTGGAGACCTCTGGGTACTAGGGTAGTCCATAGAGAAGGAATACTTCAGTAGCAGGACTAAGCCTAGTGGAGCCCACAGCAGGTGCCCAGAGGGGACCCGAGAGCTGCTGTGCAGTGACCGTAGAACACTTCTCTCTCTCTACTGGTGAGCCTTTGTCCCAGCACCGGTAGCCTTTGCCTGTCCCGGCATTTTCTCTCGGGTATTCACAGATCCAGAGAAAGCACTGAAGGGTTATACCTGGACCACCTTGGAGGAGCCACATCTGCACGTGCCTGAGATGATTTGATCTTGGGGCTGGAGCCTGAACCAGATGCTGAGATTGGATGAGACTCCAGGTGCAGGACAGTAGTGAGTTTCACGTGTCACGAGGCATGATGATTGATTTTTAGGTGTTACTCTACCTGGCCAGAAGATGCCCAGCTGGCTGGTGAAATAAGTCTAGGTGAGTCTGTGAATGTTTCACACAGACGTCAGAAGCAGACAACTGAGCAGAATGGACTGTCTTCAGAATGTGGATGGGTACCCTCCAATCAGTGGAGGGCCCTGTAATAACAGGGTGGATGAAATGAATTTCTTCTTCTGGCACCAGCATATCCTAGGCCTGGAGCTTCCTGTGGGACTGACCACATCTTTTGGGGGAGTTGTGTGTGAGTTCAGGAGATTTCAGGACTAAGGATGCTCATTTGGGAGAGACTGCCTAAGTTTTTAAAGCCTTGGATCTGGGTGAAAGGCAGGTAGAGGGCTGAGCCTAAGCTACTCCATGATCTGGAGAGCTAGTGAAGAAGTCAGGAATGTGGTGCTACAGAAGCTGGGGGGGGGGGCATCAGGGAGGGGTGAGTCAAAGGAGCTGGAGAGGTCTTCAGTTGGTCTAAGCAACCTGACACTGGAAAGCCTCTGGTGATCCATCAACACCAGTGTCGGGGCAGAACCGGGCATGAAAACCAGGGTGGAGACTGCAGGGCAACCAGGAGACAGGACAGAGGGCAGAATTCAGTGTGGTGTGGCCTTGGAGGACACGGACAACTGCCTCACTCTCAGAAGCAGGGCCAGATGCAGCCAGATGTGTGCCTATGGGCAAAAAAAAAAGGGCTTTTGCTGAATGAGGGAGGGAGCGAGCGAACACTGCTGTCCCTGCTGACCCTGGTGGTCTCTGTCCCCAAGATCAATCAACAGGCTCCTCTATGGTCCTGACTTCTTCCTTGAACTTCCTGTGGCTTGTGTGGTCTTCTAGGCTCGTCTGCATAAGAGGAGTGTGAGCCCCAGGAGGCCGGCTGCTCTTCTGTGTTCTGGACTGTTCTAGCAAATACTCACCAATGGGGGACCATGTCAGCTTCATCTAACAAACCAGAAACACTGAGGCTACCCAGTGTTTAAATAAATCCCTTGCTCAAATCTTTTCCCCCTACCCCCCACCCCTTCATTAGAAGGCTTCGAGGAAGGAGAAAATTCTCCCAAGCACTCTAAGGGCAGGTGAGGGATGGTCCCTGAACTCATGCAGAAGTAAATCTAATTTACAAGTCAAATAGGTAATGGCTTTGGGAGGGTAGGAACTTAATCTGACTGTGGTGTTCTGGCATCAGGGCCTCTGGGAGGTGATCAGGATTAGAGCTTCATTGGAAGAGGGAACAAGGCCAGAGGAAACACACAAGCTTGCTCCTTATCTCAACAGGTGATTATGCTCTGTGCTGCCTTGGGACTCTGCCAGCAGGAAATCCATTATCAACTGTTGCCTCTTGACCTTGCATCTTTTGAACCGTGGGCCAAAATAAACAATACTTTATGAAGTTACCTGCATTTACAATAGCAATGAAAATTGGCTTGGCAGACCCAACAAGGGGGTGGGGGCATGGACGAGGACTTTGAAAAGTTTTTGGTGAACAAAAATTGTCCTTATTTGGTGCACAGTTCGGATGCTTTTCCAACTTAGCGGGGGGTGGGGGGGGTGGGGGGGGTGGCGGGGGTGGGGGAGTGGGTGGGGTAGGGGGGTGTATCTTTCTCCCTCTTGAGATGGAATAGGCCTCTCTCACCCCAGCTGTGACACCCTTGCCTCCAAACTGGCCCAGATGGGCTCCACATGGCTGTCCCAGTTGTGAGAATAGGGCACATGTACTCTGTCCCTGCGCTCACAGCTGCTGGTAGGGCTGGCAGCAGAGGGTGGGGGTGGGTGGGCAAGAGGTAGGTTGTTGGGGGAAATGAGCACCCACTGTAGCATGGACAGGATTTGTGCTCTCCAGTCCTGTCATTCACTCCAGACTGGTGAGGCAGCTGTTCCTCCTCGGCACTGCCAGACCTGGGCACCCACAGGCAGGGAGGAGGCCAGGGACTGAAGAATTGATTAGCATTCCCTTGGGGAGACGCTGGCCTCCACCAGCATTGCATTTACTGGTGATCTCTGTGGCCATGGTCCCCTACCACTGTGTCTCAGGAGCACCAGGCTACCTCCACAGCAGGGAAGGACACCACCCCCTCCATCGATCAGCCCCAGGGGACTGGCTTTTGTCTTTGACTTGCCAGAGAGCTTACAACTGTGATGGAAAAACATTTTATTACACATGTTCAACTTGCTTCCAATGAATGAAATGATGAATTTTTCACATATGATGGCATCCAAGGTTGGTCGTCTATTCTTTTGTATTCTTTCATAACCAGCACCCAAAAGTAAAACCCAACCCAACCCAGGGGCACAGTACTGAGTGTAAGTTAACTAGTGGGAGATATATACATCTGACTTTCAAACGAAGAAAAGAGCGGAGGTGAGGTTGCCACCCAGGCTCCTTTGCTGCATTCTGACCCATCCGGCCACAGACAACTGCGAGCGCTTCACCTTGCACCAGTACGAATAGCACCATAAGGTTGTGAGACAGACGCTCGTGACATGTCCGCGCAACCACGAGGGTACAGAACTCGAGGGACAGTGTGGGTTTAACCCAGAAACATCACCGGCGTGATCCCAGAGCTTTGATGGCTCTGCACAAAACAGAAAGTGTCATGGTGGAGTTCAAAGTGACGAGGCCAGCATTTGCTCAGAAAGCGCGTGCACGTGGGGGAAGCGCTGAGGGGCTCCTTCAGGGGACAGATGGCAGTGGGGGCACCAGAGGCACGAGGGATGGTGCACACCTATGGGGACGTGCTCACACTTGCTCTGCCTCGGTGGGCTTCTGCAGATCCACAAGGAGGACTCTGTGGCTTCCTGAGCTGGCTATGCTGGCGCTCTCATTGTTTTCTGGCTCTAAAATATCAATGTCTTTGGGTAAACTAACAAGATGTTGGGCTGAGGGAAAATGGACAGCACCTTCCCCTCCACCTCCCAAAAGCTCCCTGGAATCTGTGGGGTATGGAAACAGGTTGGGGAGTCTGCTGGTGATCAGAGTGAGCTGGGGGGAGCAGTGTTTATAGCACAGCATTGGGGTGATGACCGATGGGTTACTTCATCCTGACATTCTCTCAGAGCACCTAAGGAGGTTTCTCAACACTCCTTTTCAGTTCAAGTGGAACCAAATGAATTCCCTGCCACCCCTACCACGTCTCTGTGATGGGCTAGTAAAAATAAAAAACAAAAACCAAAAAAAAAAACCCCAAAATCCCCAAACAACAAAACAAAACTAAACTAGAAACAGCACCAATAAATCAAAAAGTACTTAGAGATGATCCCATGGAAACTAGCCCAAGAGCTTCTATCTTGGGCTTCAAGGCAGTTCCACACATAAGCACCCATGAAAACCCACCAAGATGTGAAGCAAAGGCAGCCACCGGCAGCAGCCAGGAGACTGTCGGCTGGTCTGCTCTTGGCGAGGCCAGTCTGGTCACATCTCTGGGCTTCTGGAGATAGAAAAGTTCTGTGGTGAGGGTGAAGGCATGGGGATGGAAGAGAGGGCCTTCTCCATTTTCCATGTCACATCAGGATGGGTCAGTGATGACAGCTGTGAACAATGAAGGTACCAACCATGAGATCTTGGTTAGAGGAAGGCATGATGGACTGCAGCAATTTCAGCCGGGTGGTGTTCCTCCACAAGTCCTGGCCCACCTTCCTTGTGCCCAGATACTGAAATCAGCCCTCATGCTGCAGAAGCCAGGACTGACTGATGTGTGTTCTCAGATGTCCTGAACATCATCCTAGCCTCAGAAGGAAGGCCAATGTCAATGGAAAGCTACTTGGCCAAGATGCAGCATGTATATAATGTGCAAAGCCTTATGGAGTGCTGGCCAGCGTGGATATGCCTGGAGGCAGAGTAGGAGCTGGCACACCCCTGAGAAAGCTGAGGGCACCTTTATGTCAGGAAGCAACCCTGTGCACCATGTGTGCATGTCCCATTTCATAGCACCTTGAGGAAAGGCTCCCTTGTTTTCCTGTGGGGTACGCCGCTGAGCTCTGAAAAGTGGATGGCTTCCCAAATCCAGCTCTTCAAGGATGCTCCCCACACAGGTGGGGTGCAGAGCTTACGTGGTACTGGCATTTGTGTTGGTCTGTTCAGATTTAAACTGTCAGGGGCAAGATTTCTAAGGCAAGGCCCAGGATTTTGAGACTATGTTTTTGAGATGGACAGAGGTCACGTCTTGACCCTTGTGATCGGGCAGCATAGCCGTTTTCCAGAGAAGCCATAGCAGAGGCCGGTCAGGCAGGACATTGCTGGTTTGCAGGATAGAGCCTCTGCTAATGTGATATCTCATTTCCAGGATATTTCCACAAAGCTACGTTGAGCCCGAGGAATTCAAATGTCAGCAGAAAGCCAGGACAGAAGCACTAAACACTCTTGCTTAAGTCTCTCTCTCTCTCTCTCTCTCTCTCTCTCTCTCTCTCTCTCTCTCTCTCTCTCTCAATCTCTCTCTCTCTCTGTCTCTGTCTCTGTCTCTCTCTCTGTCTCTCACTAATCTGCCAGAGGTGCCCCTTTTGAGGTACATAGGATCTTGGAAGTTAAAATTACTTTGTGACTCCTGTGTAGTTTTTCCTTAGCAAGCCAGCCAGTGGCCATTAAACATATATTAGTTCAAAGGACGAATGGTAATGTCAGCTCCGCTCTCTAGCTCCAGGCAACTGGATTTCTTGAGGCAGCCTTATTGCGGGAGCAGAAGAGTGCTTTGGGGGTCCTGGCTGCAGGGCTGGTGTGCTTTTGGGTAGGGTGAGGGCTCTCCACTCACTAACTGCCAGACCTCAGATCTTGAGTCAGAGCATTGAGCAAGCACTGTGCTGTAGGTCAAGAGCTTGGCGGAGAGGGCGGCTGGCGCATCTTATTTGCGTAGAAGTCCCTACAGGTCTGGCAGCAGCGTTGGTACCACCGCATGTCCTGGCAGAGGTTCTTCTCTCGGATGACCCGGCAGTACACCGTCCACTGGTCCCGTGTGCATTTGTAGGTCAGAGCAGCTAAGGGGACAGTGGAAAGGACACATGAATGCTCCAAGAGTAAAGCCTTGGTTAAACACACAGAAGCAGCCCATGGTCATATCGGTTTCTCTTACCTTCAAGTACACATTAGCCTTGCATAAATTCAGGGACATCTAGGACTATAGAGATGCTACTTTCTCCTACAGATCCATCTCTGTGTCTAAGCCCTGACCGAGCTACTCTTGCTGCATTTTCAGAGCAGGAGACACTAGACAGCTTGCTCCTGAGCTTGGAGAAACTGGTCTGTGATAGACCATACTGCTTCTGTTGGCATTTACAAAGCACAGTGACATGGAGCAGTGGACAATAAAGGATCCCCAAAAGCATGAAGTCGAAGGATAAACAGATGTCTCACATTTCTTTCAGTGTCTTAGTCCTCTAGAGAGAAAGCCTTATACATAGGAGGTCCCTGAAGACATCAAGTAGACGTGGGTGTCACCTACAAGCTCAGCGGCTCCCCCCAACTCAGGTGGAAGCAGCTTAGAGAACCTTCCATGGCAGGTGACAGGCTCCAGGTAGTGTGTTGGTGAATGCTGTTGACCTAAGAGGAGTTTGGATCATTCAGGAGACAAGCCTCTGGGCATGTCCATCAGGAATCACCTAGAGTGGGTTAACTGAGGTTGGAAGACCCATCTGGAGAGTGGGTGGGACCGCTCTGTAGCCTGGGGGCTTGAAATGAATAAAAAGGAGGAAGGTGAGCACAGGCACTCATCTCGCTGCTTCCTGACTGTGGACACAATATAACCCTGTCTCAATGTCAGGCCACCATGACCTCGCCACGATAGCGGACTGTACCCTTAAAGCTTAGCCAAACAACCCCTTGCACATGTTTCCTTTGTCAGGTATTAAAGCATTAGATGGTCCTCATGTTAGCCCATCGCTGGATGGACTATGCACATGTAAGCAGTCTTGTTTTGAGCACGAGAGCCAAATGGCTTACACCAAGACTGTAACCTCTCCGCCCTACCTACGTGCAGATCCATCATGGCACAGAGGATCCCGTGCAGATACCCTAGTGAATCTTTCTAGAAAGAAGGGTGGCTCTTCATCCTCTTCACATACAGGGGTCAAGGTTGAGGCTATCCTCCAGTGTTGGCAGAAGGGTGAGTAGGATTCTCCGAGGATGGTGTGGGTGATGGCCAAACACCTCTGACCCTTCTGCAGCCCTAGCAAATATTGGCCCCTCTAGTGCTCAAAGGTGGCGGCGGCTTTCCGGCTTACAACAGGGGAACAGTGACACCCAGAAACCAGGGTCAGGGGAGGTACTCACCAAGGCGCGGGGAGGTGATGGTGTTCACATTAATCTTGTCATTGCAAGCCTCCTGGTGGCACTGTCGGTAGGCTGCTGGCTTTGAGAGGGCGGGGCAGTCACTGCCATGCCGTCCAGTCACCTTGTGCATGCACTGTACCACACGGGACTGGAGCCCCTTCCCGCAGGTCGATGAGCACTGCCAGAGACGGGGACAGCCTGAGCGGAGGGGGTATGAGATGGCCCTACCATAACGCTGCTCCTGGGCATGTCATTCCCAAGTATTTGCGATACCTGCAAGTCACGGGCTCACTGCCTGCTAGAAGAGAGCTTCAAGAGGGCATGCTTATGCCTCGCTGAAGCATACACTGAATCCCTAGCCCCCAGTGGCTGGTATAGGCGGTTGAGGCTTTCGTCAGTCAATGGTTAATCTTGATTGCCAACTTGATGGGATTCAGAGTTGCCATGGAAACAAATCTTTGGGCATCCCTGTGAGGTAATAATGACTAGGTTGGGTTGAGATGTGAGGAGCCGCCCTCAATGGGAGTGGCCCCACAGCCATGGGCTGAGGTCCTAGACTGAACGTGTTGAGCACCAGCATCCATTACTTACTGCCGCCTGACTGTGGGTACAATGTAACCAGCTGCCTCAAGCTCCTGTCTTCCCCGCCATGAAGGACTGTATCTGTCTGATATTTTGTTACAGCAGTGTCACCCATATAGAGGTGATTAGGCAGGGCACCCAGGATGATATTAGTGTCTTTATAGAAGAAAAAGCCTAGAAAGTTCTCACCATCACCTGAGGATGACGAGATGGCTCCCTGCAAACCAGGGGCCATCAGCCCCATGTTTTGGTGATGCTGGCACAAACACAGCTGTCTACCCGTCTCTAAAAGCATAGCACAGGAGTATGAGCAAGATGAGGTACTTGATAACGACAGCATCCTTAGCAGTATCTACCACACACATTTTCAGTGGTTAGAGTACAATCCTACTTAGGATTGTCAATATCTCAGGTGTGTAGCATCTTATGGCTGCTCGAGGAGTCCATGTCCGGTGCCTTTGGCGCTTGAGGTTTGTGAGCGTGCACGCCTTGTTCTGTGGGGACCACTTTCCCTCAGGCTGCTTTTCTGAGTCCCTCCCATGTTAAGTGGCACATGACTGTATTTCCCAAGGTACCTTGGTCCTTTCCCCCAACCTGGCCCCTTGGTTCTTACTCTCTCCAGGACCCTGTGAACCACTTCTCCACTAAGCTGGTTTCCTCCCAAGTAAAAGACCACAGTCATGTGCACACCTTGTTCATCTAGTGTCTGCAGAGCCCCCAGTTTACTATTTATGGGGTCCTGAGAACACTCTGCAAAACTTTAATATGGCCCAGGCTACACAGCAGCCCAGCTGGAGTTAATAACAACGCCTGGGGGAGTGGAAGAAAGAGACCGTCCTTAACATGTTGCATGCGCAGAGAAAGCCAGGTGCCATTCCTTGAGTGCCCTGGAGTAGGAGCAGGGCCTTTCTGGGAGGTTATGGGGAATCACGGGCTCAACGGAGGCATTGGTGTACCATTTGGCCCAGGGAGGCATTGCCAACTCCCTTTTAGAGAGACTTCTGGGAGTGGGGGCTTTGCCATCCTGTCTTAACAAGCAGGATCATGCTGGTGTTTTCACTTTCACGTGTAAACATTCAAGGGAATGTTGCTTGGAAAGATCACCAATCTTCGGATGACAAGAGGGGTAAAGTACAGGCGGCTCCCCTCTGGGCCCCCTCAGCGTGTTCAAACCAGCTCAGGCTCTCTCCCTGACATGCAAGGCTGGCCCTAAGCCTGGCCACATGCCCAGTTCTGTATCCCAGATACACCCACCAGAGGCTTCCAGCAGCCTGGAGAATTCATCTGGGCATCACCAATGCAGATTTCTAGATGCTAACCTTAACCTCAGGAGTCAGTACTGGGTTTCATGGATGTCTGAGGGCTGCTGAGGCCATACAAGGAGGTTCCCACTAATAGGGAACCCTCAAACATGGGGCAGGCGCTAGAGCAATGTGGTTTTTAGGGCTGTCTTGTAGGAAGCTAGGATTGGCTGCAGGGGTAACCTGGTGAGCTTTGAAAAAAAAAAATCTTGATGTCTCAACCCCCACAAAAAGTATATCAGGGAAGGCCAGGGACATCACTTTTTTTGGTTTTTAAGTTCTTCAGGTGGTTGCAGTGGGTGTCTGGAACTGAAAGCCCCCGACTTCACCCAAGTTTCTGTGCTCTGTAGAAAAGGTGACGAACTCTTCCTATGTATTTCTATCCAGCTAAGCATAATTAAGCTCGCATGACATCCAGCTGCAGCCTGGACGACTGAGTTTACGTAGAGCTGACAGGTGTGCTCAGACGGAAGCAGTGATGGCTTCCCATCAAAATAATGCTTAATGTTTTTCTAAGAAGAAAACCGCTCCGAGTGCAGGGCAGCGAGGCATGCTTTCAGATATTTCGTAGCCAAAGTAGTGTCTGAATAACCTCAACCAAGGGTCATTATGGGTCTAGTGAAAGGTGGCCCCGGAGTTAAAAAAATGAAGGCAAAAAAACTTTAGCTTTGTACTCCTGGAGACAGGATTTCATAATTGCAAATGGAGAGGGGTGGCAGTAAAATGTATAAAGACCACTGATCAGAGTAATCACACCTATTGCGTCCACTTGCAGAAGGCCAGGGACAGGAAGGTCAATGGCACTATCAGAGCAGTCACACCAAGGAAGAGCAAAGCCATACCACCTGGTGCGAAGCCGTGTCCATGCAATGCCACACTGATTTGGAGCTATCCCATCAGGTGATGAAGAGTCAGTCCAGCACAGAGCAAGGCCATGCCAGCCAATGCAAATGTTCACGAAGGTTTGTGTTGGGATGTCCTGAGGGAGCATCCCATTCAAAGGGTAGTTGCTCAAAGAAACTAGATGGCGATGACTATGTCAGGCCAGGGTCTCGGGGGATGATGGGACAGATAACACAGATATCCCACTGTAATGCAGAGGACTGCTATCTCAGTCAGTGGTGAGTTCATAAGGCTCAATTGAAAACCTCTAGAAGAAGAAAATAGCTTATGTCTAAATCCAGGTGTCTAATACACAAGCTCAAATAATCAAATTAGGGCCAGTGAGAGGGCTCAGCAGGTAAAGATGCTTGTTGCTAACTCCAGGGAGAGAACTAAGTTTCTCCATAAGTTTCCTCTGACCTCCATGTGTGTGCGCTTTAGTATCCCATGCGAAGGGCTTCCCAGGAAATAATGGAGAATTCCTCCTGATGGTCCTTGGGTGTACCTTCCACACTGGTTGCATTTTGGTTTGAGCCTGCCCCTAGCCCAAGAGTCACACAGCACACAATCTTGTTGGGAAGGTGGTTGGGTGCAGTTTATCCTATCAGGGAGTGACTGGTGGGGAAAGGATATGTTGGTACCCTGCAGGGGTCGGGGATCTCACAGGCCTCAGTAAACATTAACACTGCTATTACTCTTAACAACAAAGGCGTGGCCAAGGATAAAGTAAGCTGGCCGGGAGGCTGCGGGAGGCTGCGGGAGGCTGTGGGAGGCTGCAGGAGGCTGCAGGAGGCGGGCCTCTTCCGCAGTTCCCTCGGGGCTGCTGCGGTTGTCATCAGGATCTAGCTCACGGTTGATCTGGCAGCCAAATCTCCAGGAACACAATTAGGGGCCACGTGGGCAAGAAGGGGCAGTTTTTGCATGGTACCTTTCTGGGACCCCGGGCTCGAGTTACAGAGAACAGAGGCATGCTGTAAATTCCATTCTGTGGCCTCCCCTGAGGCCCCATCCTTAATTAAACAGCAAGGAGATGACAGTGTCTCCTGATAGCATCGGATTTGCCCCGAGCCTTGCTGGGAAGCCATTTTTCAGGCTTTTACAATCTAAGCAAACACATCTATACAAACAGATCTGGTCTTGTTTGAAGCTCTCTCACGGCTGCCCCTGCCCCCCCCCCCCCCCCCCCCCCCCGTCACTCCCCTTTCTTTAAAGTGGCCCATTCCATCCGCATTTAATGTGGCTCCCTGAGACTCAGTTAACTGAGACAAGTGAAGTAAACCGGCCATAAATTCATGATGGAAAGCTCCTTGTCAGGCTAAGTAAAGGACCCGCTCTCCTCCCTGTCCCTTTGGGAGCAAATACCTATAAAACACTTTGTATTCTGCCTAGTGACCATGCAGCCCCAGCATCCTTCTGTGGCCTTTCCCTGGGCAGGAAGGGAGAATCAAAGACACCCTGAGGCAGAGGTGCCATGGGGGGGGGGAACAGTAGTGGAACCAAGATTTTATGGACTGGAGCTGTGGTTCCGTGGTGGAGCACTTGCTTAGCATGTGTGCAGAAAGAAACCCCTAGGTTTCATTCTCATCAGCAACACAATTTAAACAAACAAACAAACAAACTAACTAACTAACACCACCTCACCACCACTACAACAAAAGTCAGGGTGTAGACTCATTGAAACAAAGAGGGAGATTACACTTGGATTTTCTCATACGCTTTTAAAAGTAAATTACAAAGTGACTTGGGAAAAGATTTCTCTCTGGGTAGAGAATTTTAAGCAAACAGGAGGAAACAGGGTGTCAGACCCTTGTGACAGGGTGCAGCAGCCTATGGCTTGGTGTCTTTCAAATCACAGTAATTATAATAGCCACTAACAGCAGGACCTGCCTGTTGACAGTGTCCTGGGCTTAGGGATGTTCTAGTTCTCACACGAATAGTTGCTTGGTCAGGGCAGTGCTTGGAGCACAGTAGGTGCTCATATGTAGGAGATGAGGTGCCAACCTTTCAGAAGCAGGGTGTGAGCCTTATGATTCCATGGCTTGACCACCCCCTGCAGGGAGGAGCCAGGCCCCTGCTGATGCCCCAAGGCTCTGCCCTATGACACCCTCCTGGCAAGAAGGAACTGTCTCTGCTCTCAGCTGTAAGGAATTATAAACACTAAATTCTAATGGGATATCTTCAGGATTTAATTTTTAAAAAATGCTGTAAGATCTTGTGAGAGAAAACGTATCCTGTGGGAACTCGTTTTGGGAGTTCAGGTCAGGCTGCCCTGCCTCTACTGAGACTGGGTAGACTGAGGCAGGAAGGAACTCCCACGGCAGCAGGAAGCCACTCCTAGCTTCTTGAGGGAATCTGAAAGCCAGCCTGCCTCTGGCAGGTTCTGGATAGTAGAGATGGAGAAGGAAGCCCACAG